ACTATATAGTATAGTAGTGTGTGTAGTGTGTGTAGTGTGTAGTGTGAGAGTGTGTGTGTGTGTGTGTGTGTGTGTGTGTGTGTGTGTGTGTGTGTGTGTGTGTGTGTGTGTGTGTGTGTGTGTGTGTGTGTGTGTGTGTGTGTGTGTGTGTGTGTGTGTGTCAATCGTTGCACTTGGATGGAATCATTTGTCAGCAACACCAAATATCCTGGCTATTATGAGTGACAAACTATATTCCCACTCAATGTCAGAGAATGCTTCAACAAAGTAGGTTCATCAGATGTCATCACTATCCAGATCCCATTTGACTTTGGTTTTAATGTCACAATTATATATTGGTTTTGCGATTTGATAAAACGGACGGTTATGCCATTGTTATAGACTGGATTCGTAAAGACCAACATGTCATTGGTTTAATTTCCTGACACAGAACATTCCCATTCAAAATGATACATGGTATCACTATATGTTTTTGGGAATGTACTACAGTACACTATGGCCATATGGTCAAAGTTTCTCACAAAAAGACAACACAGAGTCTTTTAGCTTGAGGCTTTCGGTAAGCTGCTTTGTCTTGTTGTGTGTATTGTATCTGTTTTTTCTTGGGATGCGCACAAGGGGTTCAAAGACAAGAAATAGAGGGAGAATCACTAATCCTGCTTCTGAATCCGATGATCGAAATCGAAAGCTCATTCGATTTTGAATTAGAATCGTGACACCCATATACATGACACAACTTGAAAGGGAAAAGGAGAGCAAGGGCAAAACTCCTGATCCTGCATTTTCATTCAGATCACTCTTACCCTCACACCCTTCCACACTTTCTAATCCACAGCTTTAGTTTTTGTTTATCTGTATATTTTGTATTTACCATGAACAAGACCGTGTCTCATGCATTCATAATTTCTGTGCCCTGAGAACTTCCTAACGGGGGCAATGTATTTCTTTTTTTCCGTGGTGTGATCATTTGCATAACTAATCTGGTATTTACATTCATCAATTGCTTCATTAATTAGGTCAGTGATCAAAGAAGGATCTTTCTATCACTCAGGAGGGGAAGGAAAAAATGGTGGCACTCTGCTACAGCTCTGTGCAGTAACAAAAAGCAATAAAAGCAGGGAGTTTGGGTTGAGATCTAATGCCTAATTTCTTATGGAGAGCCTGCTGAGAGATACTGCACTCTTATGTAACTCAGCAACATCATTATGAAGACAGTCAGAGACAGCAGAAAACCTCCATCTTTAGCCACTACCAGAACAGTCAGATCGCCCACGCCATCTACTGGAGGATAGGTGGAGGATTATTTATTTGTAACCACCTTTAATGACCACCCAAGGGAAAGGGCCAGGGGCCGAAGAACACTAACAGTCCTTTCAGGGATTTGAGGCTTTTTTAACGCTGATGACATGTATGATCCACCCTCGGCCGGTATCATTAGTCATGTGAGACAAATCCATGCTCTGGGACCCGCAGTGCTTTTCTCTCGCTCTCCTGATCCTTTGTCTGCGGTGATGTGTAATTTGTCTACCTTCTGCATTCATCTGACCTTCCTCTTGACAAGGCATCGTCTAAAAGACAGGTTTGTGTGTGCTGGGAATTTGTGGTATCTTGCTGACACACACAATGTAACCATCAAGACGTGCCAAAGTCCCTGTTCCACTTCTCCCATCTCTCATCTGCTGGCAGTACTACATCATAATCTGGAAACACCAAGCATAAGGAAGGAAAGGTACACAAATAGAAACTGCTGACCCATCGGTTTTCTGTATGTGTAAAAAAAGACCAGAATTTTGAATTATATACAGAGTGGGATAAGGCATGATGAATTTGATAGGCCTGACTGGATTGAAAAATGAGTGTTGCCTTGCTTTAATTGCACATATTCGCGCCTCACTGAGTTAAGCATCTTATTATTTCATGAGTCCACTCATTCTGTACAACCTGCTTAGGATAAACCTTCTGCAAACAAGGACTATATATATTTTGTGTTTAGGATTTAAATCACCAAAATAACTGCACTAACCATATTAATTCGAACACTGCAGTATTTACAATTTTTACCAGCAAGCCATTAAGTTAACAGACCCGAAATAGTTTAAAGGTGACCTATCATGCAAAATGCCCTTTTGTACGTCTTTTATACATGAACATGTGTCCCCGGTGTTCCAGGGAACTCACCAAGTGTCAGAAAACACAACCCTCTCTATTTTCCTCCATACCCAAATCTCTTAAAAAGGGGCTGCAACGGATCTGATACAGACTGATCCAGATTTGAACACTTCTATGACGTCACAGTAGTGGTGCTACGGCTATTGGGCCAACTCCACCAATCAGGAGGAGACAGCCACGGACATTGCCGTTCGAAAGCGCTGGAGACGCTGTAGTACATATGCCAGGCCGTAGATGGTGCTGTTCTCACATAATCAGCCCATGCAAAGACATTGTTAAATTGAGCGAAATGAGGAATGGCTAAAATGCATGATCTGTTTGGTATTTTGAAAAATAAAAAGTATAAATACGCCTTATATAGGTATGGTCCTACACTATATTATTCAAATATAGCATGATAGGTCCACTTTAAAGTTGCTGACATCTTCCTCTTTGTCATTTGTCTCTGTAGAGTCCGCCACCTGTCTGTTGTCGGAGTGGGTCACCTGGTCTCCCTGTAGTTTGTCCTGCGGCATGGGCACACGTTCCAGGGAGCGTTTTGTGAAGCAGGTCCCTGAAGATGGCTCAGGCTGCTCCCTGCCCACAGAGGAGGCCGAGAACTGCGTGGTCAATGAGGAATGCTGTAAGAGTTTCCTTTCCTTTTGCTTTCCTTTGCTATTGACAAGTGGCCTGCTGAGTGTTTATACTATATGTCTAATGCAAGTACAACTGCAGGTTTACTGAACCTTTTCTCTCCCTCTTGGCCTCAGCTCCCAGCAGTTGTCTGGTTACTGAGTGGGGGGAGTGGGATATCTGCAGTGCCACTTGTGGTCTTGGCATGAGGAGGAGAGAGCGCATGGTGAAGACGCCTCCTGCAGATGGCTCCATTTGTGGGGCAGAGGTGCTAGAAGTTGAAAAGTGCATGATGCCAGAATGTCGTGAGTAGCAGCGTTTTCAGGACCACAAATATCCTGACACCTCTCACACTTTCGCACCATGTACGAGCCAGGCACAAACATAACAGATCCAATATAAGGAGCAATAATAAGACAAAATGACCTTTCGTTTTCTTGTAGCAACTCACTAAAGTGTAACAATAGATGATTTACATTCAGATTCAACTCGTAAACACTGAATTCAAACAGCAAACGTGTTGAATTGGCTTTTTTCCCCCCTTGTCACTTCCTGATTAAATTACAAGGTTTGGTTTTGATGCTAATGCTCATGATTGTTTAATTAAAAAAAGTCATTTGAAACATAATTAGAGTTCAAATACTTCACAAATGTATGTGTTTGATCTACAAAAATGCATCTGATATATGGATGTACAATATGTGTAACTGAGTGACTCCTGCTTAGATACAATCCCCTGCATGCTGACTCCGTGGTCTGACTGGAGTGACTGCAGTGTGTCGTGTGGGAAGGGTGCGAGGACACGACAGCGCACGCTCAAGTCTCCCGTGGAGCTGGGAGAGTGCACAGAAGATTTAGAGCAGGTGGAGAAGTGCATGCTGCCAGAGTGCCGTAAGTATTTTTTATCGATACGCCCACATACTATACATGTATAATTTATGTAAATGTATGGTAATTCCGTCTCTGTTAGCAACCTGGTGCCTTGATGCAGACACATACACTTTTCACTTCTGGCTGAATACGTGCAGAGAAAGAATGTCAACCTTTTTCTAAATGTACATCTGTTGGTGCTAGCTGGTGGAAATGAGTACATGAGTTCATGAGCTGTATTCATTTTTAAGCTTAAACTGAAACGCCTGTCAAGTGTATCACATGACTTGATCGAAATGAAAAGCTTTACATTAAAGGTCGAACATTAGTACGGGATTTTAAGATAACTTAAATAAGTGTAGGTTTTGAAGGTCAATGAAAGCGAAATCTAAGTGATGTGAATTAAAATGTGTTACTTAGAAAAAATAACAAAGCTTGACAGTTTTATTAAATCTGTATCAAAAATGTTTATCCATTTTATATTTATTTACAAACATGGGCACTGGTCAAGATGTACTTATCAGAGGTGGGATAAGTACTCAGATCCTGTACTTAAGTGAAAGTAGAAGAACCAGAGTGTAGGAGTACTCTGTTAAAAATAAAAGTCCTGCATTCAAAATGTTACTCAAGTAAAAGTACAAACAAATTGGCATCAGAATATACTTGAAGTACGAAAAGTAAAAGTATTAATTATTCTTTTACTGTCTATTTTTTTCCTGTATTCTATGTTGAGCTGTGTTGGCATCTTTATCCTGCTATATTGTGAAAATGATACTAGAAGCATGAGAAGCTATTTTCTAACCAGCCAAACCATAAACTTGCCAAGAACAGAAACATATTTTTTCTCTCTGTCTCCCAAAATATAAAAAGGAACTGGTTGTTGTTTTCAGTCAGACAGCCAGAAATATATACAGTCTTTTTGTATTTTTCATGTCAGTGCTTATTACGTTAGAAGCCATGTGAAAATAAATCAAACCCTCTTGGAAAACTAGAAAAGTATTTTCTGTGGTGTCACTGTATATTTGAAGATAAAGCACACTGTATTCCCTGGACGTAGATTCATAAATTATCCATGACTTACAGTACACATAACATTGAATCAGCCCCTAACTGTCATCCTTCAAAGTCAGTTACCCCTCTACAACCTCCTTTAAACCACATCACTTTTGTTCACTTGTCTCCTCAGCCATAGACTGTGTGATGTCAGAGTGGACTGAGTGGTCGGAGTGCAATAAGTCCTGTGGTAAGGGTCATACGATCCGTACCCGCATGCTGAGTATGGAGCCTCAGTTTGGAGGAGACGCGTGTGCTGAAACCATCCAGAGGAAGAAGTGCAAGATCAGGAAGTGCACTCGAGGACAGGCCAACAGTGACGAGAAGAAACGCCGCAAGGAGCAGCGCGAAAAGAGGAGGAGCAAACAGGGCAAAGCTGAGGTCTCCACCGAGCACCCGGGTTGGTATTCACCCTCGTTACATTAAACAGTACAACGCCACACAGATAATACATATGGTCTACGAACGTTTGTTCATTTGAGGGGCGATTTGAGGTTTACTTATCACTTCAATTTGCTGAAACACAACATCTATTGTTTTCCTTTGCAGTAAAATGCCATAAGAAAAAGTCAAAGTATAGTATGCTATTAAATGTAAGAAAGCTCATAATGGTTTTATAAAAAAGGATTGTACTACAGTATGTCTTAAAAGTATAAAATACATCTTGGTATAGTTTTTCATAAAAAAGGCTATGAAAAAGTCATAGTATAGTTTGTCGTAAAAATATTATTTCTGTTGGCAATAACAAAATAATAATTTCAAGTAAATTCAAGCCCCTCTCTCTTGTATATTTATTGTCTATGAGTTGATGTAAAGCCTCTTTTGTTTCAGTGTTATATCAGCAACTCAAGTTTAAGGATTTCTCAAACTTCACAATGTTGTGAATTTGAATTATCCCTGAAATTTATATTTAAGATATTGTGGAATTGATAAAGAAATCTGAGATGTGCATTTCTCTGATGGTTTGTCTCTTTATCTCTTCAGGGTGTAAAATGAGGCCGTGGTCAACATGGACAGATTGTACCAAGATGTGTGGTGGAGGTATTCAAGAACGACTCATGACAGTAAAGCAGAGGTTTAAGACTGCCCAGCTGTCCAGCTGCAAGGACAGGAAGGAGATCAGGGCCTGTAATGTGCACCCCTGCTAGGGAGGAGAGGGGGATCAGGGGTGATGTGTAAGGGCGTGAGGGAGGGAGGGGGGAGGACAGTGGGGCTGGAAACAGGACAGGGCATGGCACACTGTTGCACAAGGATCCAATGCACTCTGTTAGGGCTGGAACGGCACATGCTTGAATCTGTCTCGATTAAATCCAGAGCCCAGGTGGGGACATCAAAAGAAGTTCAACTTAAACATCTCGCTGGAAAACTCTTGATTTAAACTAGAGTGAATTTTCTGTGCTTTTAAACTAGCTCTTATACACATAAGACTCTTTTGCAAGATTACTGTAAACTTGTTGTGGTACAATGTGTCTTGAAAAATATAATTATGAAATATAAATTGATTTAATAATAAGATAAAGGACTGTTATATCTTGTGGATCCCTTAAGTAGTAGCCTACAGTATATTCCAGAGTTTAAAACTTTAAAGCACAGGTGCCCAGCCATTCCAGTGTTTTATACGCAGCCAATGTTCAGTTGTTTCTAGGACACAAAATGCCCAGTTGGCTTTTTACCAAGCTACATTGTTGTACATGTATACGCACCACGGTTGAGATGTATATGATTTTGAGCATTGTTAGAAGATTTGATATTTTTTTGCTGTGGAATATTTTGATAAGAATGTGTCCCAAGATTCTTACCAAAGTCTTGCGTAGATGTTTTCTAGATGTATTCTCCTCCTTTTCTTTATCTCTGTTCCTCTAACATATTAATATTTTGGAATAATATCATCTTTACAATAAAAGTAAATGTGACAACTTGTCACCTGGATCTGTCTTTTTATTTTGGAGGATAAATGTGTGATGGTTTACACTTCTGCTGCCACTAGATGGCAATAACTAACTAAAAACTCTTGTCTTTCATAAGAAACGGGTCAGTCCTGAGGCTGCTGGTTCCAAGTCATGCAGTACCAGCTGACATAACCCATAACTCCTCCCTGAACATCTCTCCATGGATGGATTAGCCACAAGGGGGCAGTGGGAAAAATGGAAGACACGTTCAATTACAAAGTCTGCGGGTCATTCCTAGCATTTAAAAGGGCTAATGCTTATTTGTAAAAGCTTGGTTTTACATGTTTAATCCCTCTCTACCATAAAAAAAGCAATGTAATATACCCAAGATATTTATAATTATATATAATAATCAATTTTAGCACAAGTAGCCAACTGCCCTGTCCCAAATCATGTTTGCTCAACTTTGATAACAGACATAACAAATATAATCCAAACAATTCCCGCATTCACAATTTTACTGAGGTAAACACGTTTGCAATTGAAGTATACAATTAATAAATCTGACCAAAGTAAAATTATTCTCTTTGCAGAATGCCCCATTTCAGATAATTCTTAATAATAATGATTCATACAGCAAACGCAATGGAACACTATACTTTTTTAAAATTAATTCACTTCTTGACCTAAATGAGGGAGAATTGATCTTTAGTCACTTTAAAGAGAGAGGGGGAGGTACTCGCCATTTAAAGACACATAGAGGTGGGGGTGCCATGCGTTTAATATACATGCGGGCTGAGATCAGGAAGGAATCTGCCCCCCTGCTCTCTGGTGTAAGAGGTGGGGGGAGGGGACGATGTCAGGCTTCCCTCACTGTGGGAACATGGGTGAAAAATTCAATATACACATCACAACGCCATTCTTGTTTCCATGCCAACACAACCACACATGGGGTAAGCCTACTCACGTTGTAAACAGGGAAGGGGTATTGCAACTGTCGTGATTGAGCTGTTAAAACTGAAATTGAAAAGAAAAAAAGGAAATAGATGGAGGATGTGTGTTTGTTTATCTGTTTGTGTGATCTGCTTGGAAACCACTCTAGACCTCATCCAGTGTAGTGCAGCAGGCTGGTGGTGGTGGAGCCGTTCTGAGACTGAAAAATCAACTCAAAGATGCATTAATGCCAGTAGACCTTCCATGTCTCTGTGATATTATAATGAGTTTCCTCTGTCTATGGATACAGTGATGAATATTTATATTCTGGGGGAAGGCCACACCGCTGACAGAAAAAGCTGAACTATCCAACCTCTTCCTCATTTAGCCTATTTCTCACAGAGCTTCAAAGGTTTTAATAACTGTGAGAAAAATGCAGGTCGAAGATAAAGGATAGAAGAACTTGTACACAAGCTAGCACTCATCTATAACATCAATAGTTGTATTTGTGCGCCTCAAATCTTTGAGAAGATTTATATACTGTAGGTTACTGCAAAAACCTTTCCTTAATTCCACAACACCTCAGGTAAAAGGCAGTGCACAGTGGATTTATGCGTTAGAGGATTTACAGTTTCCATAAATCTTATTAAACATGGATCATCAGGGTCTAAGTCTCTGAAATATGTTGCATACATTTTTCATTTTCTGCATCTGGATTTAGTATTTTGGTCAGAAATGTGATCATTGAAAACTGTGTGCCACAAACCTTAGATCATGTTTTGTAGCGCCATTTGAATCTGCCAGAGGCGTTTTTCCGCTAATGGCTTTCTCTGGCATGAATATGATAAACAACACACACATTCTATCCCAATCACCTGTTTACCAATTTGATACTGATCAATACATTTTATTTATATTATTCAACTTGACTTAGGTTGATTCCATCAGATCAGATCAGCAGTGAGAACAATTCACACTTATTTTCTGATGTTCTGTCTCGAGTCTTCTTGGTTACAAAGCCATTTGAAACGTAATGCCCTCACATTATTAGAGGAAATTGAATCCAAGTCTGTTAAATAGTGCAACAGTGCTGCAATAAACCCTGATAACAAACCTAAAAGTTATAATTGACCGTTTTTGTTCAAAGCTTCAAAAAGAGGAGTGTATTTCTCCTGATGATCATTTTAGAGACCGTATCACGGTGCTGTTTGTCCACCACAGTTATATGAGGTAAAAATTTGAATCGTCTCCATTGTTAAAGTTTCCCAATCCTCTTATCCAAAAATAACATTTTCACTGATGTTATCTAACATTGTACCTACACCTGCACATCCAGCTGTCATAGGAAAGGGACATCTGTGAAATATAAAGTTTTTTGGCCTTGGTGTTTCTTTAAATAAAGTATCTTTGGGGAATATTTAGCCAAGTCTTTTATATATATGTCATTTGTAGCCTTTATTTAACCAGGTGAAAACCCCTTGAGATCAAAAGATCTCTTTTTCAAGGGTGACCTGCAGGACATTAGTTACACATGTAACATAAAAACAACAGAACAACAATTAGGATGACATACAACATAATGTACAGGGTACAGTTTACAAACTCTATTTACAGTGACAGGTACCATGAGTATCAAACAGCATGTCGCCCAGCCAACTTTTCAAATGATCCCCCCGTGCAAAGTAAATATATCGTTTTTAGAGGCCAGCAAAGCCCCCATCGAACACATTTCACTATGACCAAGGCCTTTTACTTGTATCATACCCCCATCATGCTTTGTGGCTATTGATTGGATTCATGTTGAATAATAATCTCTGAAGAAGGTTTGAAGTAAATAAGGGTGTTACATAACTTATTATTAAATAACTTTTCCTGTAAGGTTTATCTTATGTCATCTCATGTTTATTTAAATATTTTTATTAAAGCTGTTATTGGGCTTTTACTGAAACTTGTTACGTTTATAGTACTTTGTTGGTTAATCTTTTCATTCTAAAATGGAAAACTATCCTAAGCAGCAATTCCCCCCCATTCTGATTCATATACATTTTGAGCATCTCCATTGGTTCACAGTTGTAACGTTAGAACAATATAGGTCTGTTTTTTAAACAGTAAATCGTTATTTACATCAGTAATCAAAGCACTGTTTCTCCTCTTTAGTTAGTCTCAGTGTGCTCTTGATATTTGTAAGTAATCAAGACTTACATTTAGTTCTGATGTGGTTAATAATTAGATGTTTCTGGCTGTGTAAATAAATCTGGGTCCCATATCATTCACAAAGCAAGGGCCGCTTTTCTCCAGCTTTAATGTATGCTTGAATAACAACCCCTGTCCATGTTTATACTGTATGTGGGAGAAATGTGTTCTACATCCAGGGTATTGCATTGATTTGCCTCTAAAAAGGTGAATAAATTGTGTTTTATGGAAACAGAAAAATCCATGCCGCTGTTTACAATGCTTGCTGTTCCTGTAAATCAGAAGGTGATCAATGTGCATATTGACTCATCCATTGCCTGGGTGTGAATATATATCTTGTGTGTGTGTGTGTGTGTGTGTGTGTGTGTGTGTGTGTGTGTGTGTGTGTGTGTGTGTGTGTGTGTGTGTGTGTGTGTGTGTGTGTGTGTGTAAGCGTGTGTAAGCGTGTGTATTTGGGGACATTGTGTAAAACAATATGGCTGTTTAGCAACTTTTCAGTGTGTTAACCCTGCAGGTGTTGATGTGTGTTATTGAATGTGTGCATGCGATTGTGTGCTCCTGTGTGTATTTGTGTGATTGTATGTGTGCGCGTCATCTGAGCCCTCCAGCGGGGTCATTTCTGTATTGACAACCTGCTTGTCGCTGTCATGCAGAGAACATGAGTAGAAAGGCCATTCTCATTTAGCCTGATAAAGCGCCCATAGCATGATAACGACCTCTAGCCATTTATAAATCATACTTTAACATGAGGGAGACGGACCTCTAACCGCTGACTGATTGTACGATTGATCAAAATTACTCATTCATGAATCAGAGCAGCATTTCTTCAGCGTGTGGAGCACAATGCGGTGGGAAATAATGCGGTGGTTATGGTACGATAAATATTGTCGTAGTTATATTGTGCCTTGTCTTTTTCATGTTGTTGAGACTTTATTCCAGTGTCTTAAAGTTATATTTGTTCATACATTTTATAAGTGTCTCCCTTCCTTTCCCCCCCCTAACCACCTCCCCCCATCATATTCATCTGCATAGGAACAATCAGCAGCTCATGTTTACTGATTCGCCCAATCAGGTATCAGTTCTCCCTTGAGGTTCAAGGTCCCCATTGACAATAACACAATAAGTGTGTGTGTGTGTGTGTGTGTGTGTGTGTTTGTGTGTGTGTGTGTGTGTGTGTGTGTGTGTGTGTGTGTGTGTGTGTGTGCGTGGTGGACAAAGGAGGAAAATCCCAGGGAGAGTCTAGCAGAACGAGTTGATCGATCCCCAGCAATTACCAGCCAATCGAAATGTGATTTATTTCCCAAGGAATGATTTCAATATCAAGAGAGCTGGCGAGTGGATGGGAGTGTGTGTGTGTGTGTGTGTGTGTGTGTGTGTGTGTGTGTGTGTGTGTGTGTGTGTGTGTGTGTGTGTGTGTGTGTGTAGAGGGAGGGAGATCCTTGTCAATAAACTACCACTTACTCCTCTATTCTTCTTCCTGTATCTCTCCATCTATCCCTCTTTCACCCGATCCATCTCAACATTTTCTGCCAACTCGTTCTTCCTCTGCTTTTTTCTCTCCGCCTTTCACGCTCCACTCCAACTCATTCTCTCAATCTCTAATATTGTCTATTGTCCACACTCTGTCCGTCGTTTCCCGCCCGCAATCTTACCCTTCCTGTCTTATCCATGTCTTTTGTGATTTTCCATGATTTTCCTCCCCCTCCCCCTCCCCCTCCCCTCCTTGACTGCTCCCCTGTGAGGCTATCATTCTGAGGCCTTGTCAATACGACCAGTCAACCAAACAAAAAGACCAACTGACCAATTGAGATATTTTGACTCTTAATCCCCC